GGAAAGAGTCTAAGGAAAGTTTCCTAAATGGGGTGACAGTGTTGAGAGATAAGTAGAGATTGGCCAGACTTTAAATTGTCTTGTGTATATATAATCTGGACAGAAGTATTTTCTGAAAACTAAAAGTATGGGATAATTTTGAGGGAAGTAGCAGGAGATATGTCTGGAAATATAAGCAGGGACCAGATTAGGTATTTTTAAGCAGAAATTTAACATGCTCAGATTTTCTTTTAAAGAAGATCTCTCAGGAAGCAATGGTTGAGAAAGGTTTAAGAAAAACAATATCTAAGGAAAATAAACCAATTAAGAAGGTGTCACAATAGAATTTAGAAGAGAGTAGCAGTGGATATGGAGGAAAGAGGCCAAAACTAAAATATTTAAGAATTGGAAACTGCATGAGTGGTAGTAGGGACTGCAGCGTGGGGACCCCAGGAAAATCTGAAACTCAGAGCCAAAGGAGGAATTTTTTTAAAAAGACATTTAGCAGTCAACTGCATGGGTGCAAAAAAAACCCCTCTAAAACCCAAAAACCTCTGTTGGAATGCTTTACAAATTTCACGGAATGGAAACTAAACTTCTTACACAATTAGTCACAAATATAGTCCTCCAGTTTTTTGCCCATACACATGAGTATTATCTAAAACATGTCTTCTTTGTAGCAGCTAGGCCCCGCCTCCTCTGTGCTTGACTGAGTTCACAAATGTGTTGTAACCTGTAGCTTCTCTATCACTTCTCTGGTTCTCCTCTCCAGTTTGTTTCCTGGCAGTAAATAAAACCTCCTGCTACTGCTATAGCTACTGCTGCTGCTGGAACTGCTACAGCCACCTTGGGTTCGTGGTTTGGCCAGGTGTTGGCCTCCACCACCACAGGGGCAGAGCTTCCGCTTCCAGTTTCCTCCTTTCGTGGGTCCACAATTTGAAGATGAGTTGTTGTAATTGCCAGAATTGTTATAGCTTCTGCTGCTTCCAAAATTACTTCCATCATTACCAAATCCATTATAGCCATCCCCACTGCCACCATATCCTCCACCACCGCAGCTGCCACTAAAGTCACCTTGACCACTGAAGTTTCCTCTATGACCAAATTTGTCATTCCCACTAAATCTACCTCCACAACCACCACCGAAGTTTCCAGAGACACTTCAACGTCTTTGGCTGGGTGAAGCACTAGCCATCTTTTGCTTAGATAGTGCTTTCCTTCCTTCAGTCGTGGCTGTTCACAGTGTGGTATTTCTGAATGACAGCCTTGTTTTCAGAGTCATTATCAAAGGTTACAAAAGCAAAGCCTCTCTTCTAGCCACTGCTGCCTCGGTCAGTCATGATTTCAGTCACTTCAGTTTTGCCATATTGTTCCAAATAAACTCTTAGGCGATGTTCTTCAGTGTCTTCTTTAATACCACCAACAAAAATCTTTGTCACAGTTAAGTGGGCACCAGGTCTTTGGGAATCTTCTCTTGAGACCAACCTCTGTGGTTCCACAGCTCTTCCATCCACCTTGTGTGCCCTTGCCTTCATGGCTGCATCCACCTCCTCCACAGTGGCATATGTGACAAACCCAAAGCCTCTGGAACACTTGGCGTTTGGATCTTTCATCACCATACAGTCTGTGAGCGTTCCCCAATCCTCATAATGGCTCCTCAAACTCTCAACAGTTGTTTTGAAGCTCAAACCTCCAATGAAGAGCTTCTGCAGCTGTTTGGGCTCTTTGGGAGATGCTGACTTAGACATGATGACTGTGGGAGGAAAGACTTTATGCTTACTTTGTGGCATCCACCAGCAGAAAGGCCAAAAGAGGAATTTTTAAAGGAAGACATGATCAGAGAGTAGAAGGTGAGGAAGGAAAAGATGAATGTGGACTTCAAGGAGTCTGGCTATAATGGGAATCAGAGTCTAAGGCAGCAACCAGAGAGGGGTGCAGTTGTACCAGGAGGGAGAAACTATATATGCATTATGGATGGAAACATTGTGATTGTTCTGCAAACTGTCTGGAACACTAATCATTTTTAGGAGTGGTAGGAAAAAAATGGAAAGGCAAGTCAAGACTATATTTTAGAGTGCCCTGAAAACCATTTAGATGAATTTTCACTTATTTCAGTAGGGACTGGGGAACCATCAAAGAGTTTTGAACAGAGAGTGTCTAATCATAGTTATATTTGAAGAAGATTCATTTGGAATTTGGCTGAGTTAAAGGAGAGTCTAAAGGTAGAGATATTAACTAGTAAGCTCTGGCAATAAAATGATAAGGAAGGGATGGATACAGAGAAATTGATGGCTTTGGCTTAATGATCTAATCTCTAGAGCAGGAAGTTTGTGTTCCAGGGGATGTTATATTCATATAATTCAGTATGAATGGTGTCCCCTGGAGTTATAAGCCAGACTCTAGTATTGATTCTGCTGACTGGAAGAATAGGTTGATATTGTCAGAAATTAAGAAATTAGGACCAGAGGAAACTAAAGCAATTCTTCTGTCTTAGCAATGTGAATTCTATATATATCCACTACTTCTCTCAAGGCCCAAGTCTGTATTTCTTAAAAACCTTCATTAAGTGCATTTCTCTCAAATTTGTCATTTTGCTTTCATATAACCCTAAACCCCTAAACCTTATAATTTTTTAATATTTATTTTCTGTTTTCCATATGTTCAGTTTTTTTCCATCTTGATAAGACCTGAGGGCTGGAGCCATGTCTTATTTTTCTTTATTCCTCTCTAGTACTTTGGTCATCCTGCAGTGCATGATTAATGTTCATTAGATGAATGAATATTACTTTATTTTCCCCGTTGCATAGCTTTACTGTTTTATAAAACCATAATCATTCACATTATATTATGTTCTTTTAGTCTCTTTCTAGTTAAGCATTAAGGAATATATGTCATGGAAGGATCTTGTTGTTCTCCTTAGTATTAATTACAAAAGTTATCTTCTGAAATGTTATCTTTCCTTGATAATCAATATGAAGCACTGACATCTGCACGTTTAAAACTTCCTCTTTCATCTTCAGCTTTCACCATTACTGAGGATAATGGGTTCCTCGTGTTTCCTCTACAACTTACAGCATAAAGTAATGTACTGTCTCTTATTTTATTTTACTGTCTTTTGCAAAAGTTTATTTTTCCATGCACTTAGATTTTTAATCTTCTAAGAGCCCCAATTTTTAATCTTTGTTTTTTAAAAATTAATCTCAAAAGTAATAATGCAGGTTATAACAAACCCTAGCAATGTAGAAATATATGAAGTAACAAATGAAAATCCTTTCATCCCACCCCTCAGAGGTCACCACTATTAGCAGTATCTTTCCAGATGTTATGTTTTGGCTATACCATAAATCTACCTTAAAAAAAGAAAAAAACAAAAAACCAGGCAAACGGAATACATGAAACTTTGCATTTTCTTTTTTTGTTTTTCTTAATTTATTTAATCAATACCTATTGAAAGATAGTTAGGTCTCAAATTTTTTTCTATTAAAACTATGCCGCTATGTGTATCTTACACACTTATGCTAATATATCTGTAAACTATATTACTAGAAATGGGATTGTCTTGAGGTATTTCAAATTCTTATGGCTTCTGCCATATTGCCTTCTGAAAAATTATAAGTTCATAGTCTCTCCAAGATTACAATTTTGCTATACCTTCATCTATATTAATGCTATTCAACCTCATTTTAGTAACACATGTATTATTTTTATTTATGTATTTATTTATTTATTTGAAGAAATGATTAAATTTTTTTCCCCATTTACCTCCCTCTACCCCCATCCTCTGGTAACCACTGGTCTATTGTCCATGTCCATGAGTCTCTGTCCTGTTCATTTGTTGCTTTTAGGGTTATATCCCACATATAAGTGATATCATGTGATTTTCAACTTTTTCTGTCTGGCTTATTTTGCTTAGTATGATTATTTCAAGGTCCATCCATGTTGTTGCAAATGGCAGTATTTCATCTCTTCTTATGGCTGAGTAATATTCCATTGTATATATGTACCACAGCTTCTTTATCTAATCATCTATTATAGGATACTTTGGTTGCTTCCATGTCCTGGCCACTGTGAATAATGCTGCCATGAACTTTGGTGTGCAGATATCTTTTCAGATATGAGTTTTCAAGTCTTTGGGGTAAATACCCAGTAGAGGGATTGCTGGATCATATGGTAGATCAATTCTTGGTTTGTTGAGGAACCTCCATATTGTTTTCCATAGTGGCTGTACCAGTTTGCAGTCCTACCAGCAGTGTATGAGGGTTCCTATTTCTCTGCATCCTCTCCAGCATTTGTTATTATTACTTGCCCTGTTGATTATAGCTATTCTAACAGGAACACACATCTTCTTGATTATTTAAGAAACAATCTGTTGCTGAAAATTAGAGGCTAAGCTTTTTTATTCTTCCTCAACTTTGTGGTAATTGCATAGGTAATAGGAAAGAACTCAGAAAAGAGAAATTAGTTAATAATGATGTTCATAGGATATCTCATATGTGATTTCTTTTGTCTTTTCCAGCTTGAAATACCTCTGGACTCCTTATGTGTGTATGTTAGCAGCATCTGGTGTATGTTCTTCTGAACTCTGGATGACACTTTTCAAGTGGCTTCGATTACGAACTATACACCCAGTATTGTTGGTGAGTCATTGTTATTTTAGATTAAGTACTTGTTTCTCTTCTAATTATATAAATGGAAACAGCATTGAATATCATTGAAATAGCATGAGTCAATCAGATTGACTTACAAGTAGAAAAAGATCCTGTGACTTTTTTTTATAATTTCTGGTTATAAAAGTAATGCATTTTAATTCAGACAACTTAAGACATAAAAGGTAAATAAAGTGAATTAATGTGATAGGTTATCAAGAATTTTTATTTTTTTCTTGGTTTGATTTAGAACTGTGCTATGATTTCACTGTGAATGGAGCATTTATACTGTGCTATCCCTGCTATTTGCAGTGATAACTAAAACATGATTAATTTCATCAAGTAGATTACAATCTCCTGGTCATAAAAACAGGTAATAAAAAGTATTGACAGGATGCTTTTGGAACATAGAGAAGGGCTACTTAATTCAGTTTGTTAGGGATTCAAAGACTTTCCAGTATGACATTTGAAAGCTGAGTTATTAGTCAAATGGAGAAAGAAAAGGTACTTGTGGTAGAAGGAATAAACACAGGCAAAGAACATGATGCAATCAAAGGGAATAAAAACAAGCAAAGAAAAATCATGTTATGTTTAGTTTTGTTGGCACTTAAATATGAGTTTGGGGTGTGTTTAAGAAATGAGAATGGAGAAATTGAGGAGGATAAAGTCACAGAGGCCTTTGAGTGTCATGCTGTGGTGCTAAGTCTTATCCAGGCAGTAGGAATAGACTGAGATGTTTATGCAAGGGTGTGAGAAGTCAGACTTAAATTTTTCTCTCAGCTCACCCTTACAGGTCTATGAAGGATAGGTTTAAGGATGACAGACGGGAGTGAGGAGGGATACTGTCACTCAGATACAGGCAGTGGTGGATGAAAATACTCTTCAAAGTACTCTTCAAAGTATTTCACATTCTATTTAACCCTTACAAATATCTGTTGGCTAAATTTAGTTATCTGTATTTTATAGACAGAAAATTAAGGCTTAAACTGGTTAAATAACTTCCCTGAGATCACATAGCTTATAAGTCTGGAAACCATGATTTATACCCACATTTTTCTAACTGCAAGGCCATTCAATTATTACTGTGCTAGACTGGAGTGAAAAAAGTAGTGAGTAAAATTAATAAGACTTGGTGCTTGATTAAGTATAGGAGAGTGAGGACGAGGGAGAAATCACAGATGTTTCCTAGGTTTTTGGTTTATATGATTATGGATCATGGGGTCACCAATGGACATGGGACAATAAGAAGAAAGGTTTTGGAAGGAAGATGATGAATAATTGATTATCTTTGATAATAGTCATGTTCTGTTTTGCCAGACTTTTCCAGAGGAATTTATACATTTTTATTTTAGCATGCTAGTATATTGTTATATATTAGCGATTTTTCCTGTATTAATTCATTCTCTTTTTGTTATTGTTGTTAGCTTTTAAGGCAGCATTTCATTAACCTTTGTGTGCTCTTCATAACTTAAATTCCTGGCAAAATCATCAAATATCAATTTGCTATTTGAAATGTTATGAGTGTTAACCATTTCTGTGTTCTGCCTTAATGTGTTTAATATGTCTTAAACTCATCATTAGTCTTCACCCATCTCACTCTGTGAACTAGGTTTTCATGCTGACTTAAATTTCTTTAACTGAAATTTTATAGCTATATTATTATGTGCTTGGTCATAGAGTCAATGTCTAGTAAAGTATCTTCTGAAATGTATTTATCCATAATGCTTTTTGTTTTAATATTTTAGGCTCTTATTCTGAGCATGGCTGTGCCCACTATAATAGGTCTCAGCTTATGGAAAGAGGTAAGAAAATCAGATTTTTATATAAAGATGTACTTTACCTACAAAATAGTGATAAATATATATGTATGTATAGAATACTTATATTGAGACACTGTTCTAACAAAATAAAATATGATATTCTTAATAATGTTTAATTTTTTTACCATTAGGAACATGAGAGAAACACTAAAACATTTTTAGAATGCCATCTAATGCAAATTTCTAATGCTGTCATGTGGTTTATAATTGAAATAGGAAATTGCTGAAAAAAATCGGTCTTAATATTAAAAGTATTTTGGGTACTCCAAAATTTAAATATCTATAAAATAATATAAATTCTTTGGCTTATAATAAATGTGAAACTAATTGCCAGTAAATTTGTGAATTATTTGACCCAAAATTACTTTATTTATTATGTGTGCGCAAAAAAGATACATCGATGATTAGTTGTTTATTAATGATAAAATTGTTTATTGAGTCTAGGCAGTAAATTAACCATAAATAGATCATTTGGGTTGAGAAGGATGAGCAGGTCACTGAAAGTAAAGTGAGCTATGATTTTTTTCAATAAGAACAATGTTGTAATATTGTTTGCCTTATGTTAGTCTCTTGGTCTTGAACAGTTTTAAACTTTCTAGATACTTAAACTTTTGGGGGATTTTGTTTTGCGTTTTAGTTTTTTCCAAGATTAATGACAGAATTAACAGAACTACAAGAATTCTATGACCCCGATACAGTGGAACTCATGACCTGGATAAAGTAAGAACTGGACTGCCCTGCCCAAGACTGTTGTTAAACTATTAACCAATCGTTGCATGCTATTAATTGGATTCAGGAGGGAAAAGTAGTTTTTCAAATTCTTCTCAAAAAATTCAAGAATTTTTCACTGTGTTTTTAGGGATATTTTTAGGGATATTTTATTGGACTTATCCTAATTTTCTAATTGAAGTCATCTCTTTTGAAAATTTAGCATTGATAAGTTTGAGATTTGAGACTCTTCACCATCAAACACCTAGAAATGTGGAATAAAAAGGAACAAATATCCTTTTGTTTAGATATTCAAAAGGTTGTTTGTTTTGCCCTGGTTTGGAGGTGGATGAATGGTAGATCGCTAGTCTTGGTAACCAGATTTTTAATTTCAGTTTTAATGCCTACCAGGACAAGAGATGTGGTCTTAGGTCTATGGAAGAAGAGAATTGTAATTGAGGCACCTTTTTCCCTCCTTCAACACACACATATAAAACTAAGGGGTCCTCAAGGAGTAACACTATTAGTGAAAGGATAGACTAGCAAAAGATCCATAAGTGACAGAGAAAGATAATTAGAAAGCTTTGGCCTCAGCTCTTGGTCTAAAAAGGTCTCTCCTCTGAATTTATAGCAATAGATCTGAACTCACATGGGGTAGTAGTTTGAAATGACACTTGACTGATCCAGGAAACCCAAAATTAAGAAATCAGAATAAAAAGTGGTTCTGGGGTAGTCAAAATACCTGATATATCAATGCAGGTTACAAGGATTCCACAAATAAAGCTTCATGAAGTTGAGCTCTAAAATTACAAAACACATGAAGAAACAGTTTAACATAGCAAAAATCAGCTCTCTAGAATTAGATCTATATCAATTTCTGATAATAAAATGTGTGTCAGTAAGTTTTGCTGCATAATAGGCTACCATAAAACTTAGTGGCTTATGAACAACAAACGTGTTGTTTTGCACAGTTTTTAGGGTCAGCTGAGTGTGGACAGTGGGGAGGATTCTTCTGGTCTGGGCCACCTCAGCTCTGATGTGTCTTGGGTTGGGTAGGTATCAGCTGAGGGGATGGAATTGACTTGGCCAAATGCCTCTCATCATCCAGCCCAGGGTAGCCTGGGCTCATTTACAAGGTAGCGGTTGTAGAGTTCCCAAAAGCAGCAAGAGATGGCAAGTCTCAATGTCAAGTATGTTTTGTTTCTGCTCACATTATGTTTGCTATTGTTTGTTGGCCAAAGCAAGTCATATGACCAGTACCAGAGGTTTTTTCCTAGAGCATAGCTATAGGAAGAAGAATCATTCTGGCTATTTTGCATGGATTGAGACTGAAATAACTGCATTGAAAATTATTGAAGACATAGGAGGAGAAACTGAAACATGACAAAAAAAGGCCAGAAAACTATGGTGGGGGGAGGGACAAAAAAATATTTCTAGAAATGAGGAATAAGTTTATAGAATAGGTATATGGAAATGAGAATAGGTCTTTTTATAAGGTCTTATATTGTAATGACACCCCCTCATATAAATAAAAATTGTTTTCTTTAGATCAGTCTTAACTATTGTCTATTAATACTTTTTGTGAATTAACCATTATAGACCACTGACTATATAGCTTTATGTTTTCATTAACAAAAGAGGGAGCTACATTTATGTGTGTGATTTATCATAATACATATTTTCAAAAACAGCAAAGGCCTGAACATGGGATGTTATGTCTCAGACCGTTGGACATTTGTGTTCCTGTGGTGTAATTATTCTGTTTCATGTTTGTTTCTCCATTACTGGGACAGTGGCTGTGTGCCATCTGTATTTCCAGAACTTGGCACTATCCCTAACACATAGGGATAGAGTAGACCTTTGGGATCTGCTTCTGAGTTTCTTAGTCCTGCAAGTGGCATCCATCTGGGACTTTGGATCCTGGTTCAGAGAACAGGAGAAGTCCTACATGTGCTCTCTGGAGACAGATATGTGTGTAAAGGTAGGGAAGGAACAGGAGGATAGATGGATCTTGAAGGAGTTGGGTTGTGGTGGTTAATATTTGCAAAAGATGAATTTGAGAATTCCCAGTATCATTATTGAATTGATCACACTACATAAAATAGTATATTTTTGTAGCTATATCCCATTATCCTGCACTAGTTTGTAATAACATTAATGTGACCTGATTTCTGTGTTTATTGTCTTTTATCTACTCACTCTTGAAAACAGGGGTCTTGTCTCTACCACCCACCTTTAAAAAATTTTCTGTATCTTCATCCTTTAAAATCATAAGTGCTCGATATTTTTTGAAAGCAGAAGTGAAATGAAAGCCGACATTGAAACTTAAGTGTACAATACATTGTAAGTTGCCTGGTGTTTCAGAGTTGATATAAATCAGTGATCTAAATAGTATACTTACCTTTCCAGTATGTTAATCTTTATGGTTCTTTTGCAGAAGGCAAGCTCCAGTTGCAGCTGTGTTTGCAGGAAGTCCACAGTTAATGGGTGTGATTAAATTATGTACTGGCTGGATGGTAACAAGCTTGCCTCTTTACAATGATGAAGATCTTCTCAAGAGAAACGAAAATGTGAGGCATTTTAGATTCTATATGTGGATCTTTTTTAACATCACTATTTTAGTATAGTTTTGCAATGACGTGTATAGTCCTGGTTAGCTAGGAACATTTAAACAATTTTAGAAGAGTTAATTAGCTTTAGTTTTTAAAAAGCTGTGTAATACATTTAACAAAAAGAGCCGAAGTTAAACTATTAAAGGTTTTATGAATAGTATAGATATGTTTGTTGGAGAAACATTTAATTTTTCAGAGTTTCGGGGGAACTGATGTGTAATATTTCACAAAGAGAAACATAATTTTGAAAATATCATTGTTCTCAATCAGATTATTGAAGGAAAGCTATCAGTTAATGTCTTGGTACACTTTATATTTCCAAGGTAAAATTCTATTCCACTGTGATTTATTTTTTAGTATGGGCTGTTATACTTAGTATAACATTAGAATAGTATCTAATTACTATTGTTCAGAGAATATATTGTTTTGAATGTTTGTTATGGATTTAAATGATATCTGGAGGCAATTACCAGCTGAACCTGAGTTCAAAATATTGTTTTTTAATTTGGGAGGATTTCATATAGTTTTTAGGTATACTCTAAGCTAAGGAAGAAGTATAGCATCATAGAAGTTACACTATAGTATAAAGGTTAGACTCTAAGAATGCAGACTCTGGAATTAGAGATTCTGGACTCAAACGCTATCTTCCCATATAGCGGCTTTGTTACCTTGAGCAATATCTTTTGGGGGCAGGAGATTTCCACAGTGCCTTTTTTTTTAATTGAGGCATAATGACATACAGTATTATATTAGTTTCAGGTGTACAACATAATAATTTGATATTTGTACATGTTGCAGATTATCACCACAGTAAGTCTAGTTAACATTCATCACCATACATAGCTACAGAAATTTTTTTACTTGTGATGAGAACTTATAAGATGTTATCTTAGCAATTTTCAAATATGCCATACAGTATTATTAACTATAGTTGCCATGCTGTACATTGCATCTCCATGCCTTTTTTATTTTATAACTGGAAATTTGTGCCTTTTGGCTTCCTTTACCCATTTTCCCCACCAACCACCATCTGTTCTCTGTGGTAGTGTGTGTTGTTTGTTTGTTTTAGATTCTACATTTAAGTGAAATCATATGGCATTTGTCTTTCTCTAACTTATTTCACTTAACATAATGCCCTCAAGGTCCATTTACGTTCTCGCAAATGGCAAGATTTCATTCTTATTTATGGCTGAATATTCCATTGTATATATGTGCCACATTTTCATGTATTGATGGACATTTAGAGTGTTTCCATGTCTTGGCTATTGTAAATAATGCTGCAGTGAACATAGGGGTGCATATATCTTTTTAAATTAGTGTTTTCATTTTCTTCAAATAAATACCCAGAGTGGAATTGCTGGATCATATGGTAGTTCTATTTTTAATTTTTTGAGGAAACTCCATGCTGTTTTCCATAGTGTCTGTGCCAATTTACATCCTACCAATAGTGCATGATAGTTCCCTTTTTTCCACATTCCCATGAACACTTGTTATTTCTTCCCTTTTTAATAATAGCCATTCTAACAGGTACACAAAGATATCACATTGCAGTTTTGATTTGCATTTCCCTGATGATTAGTGATTTAGAACAGGGGTCCCTAACCCCCAGGTCCACAGACCAGGGTATTTGTCCGTGACCTGTTAGGGACTGGGCCGCACAGTAGGAGGTGAGGATCAGGTAAGCAAGCAAGAAGCTTCGTCTGTATTTGCAGCCACTCCCCAGTGCTAGCACCACCTCAGCTCCACCTCAGATCATTAGGCATTAGATTCTCATAGGAGCACCGGTAGTTGGTGCCAGAAAGGTTGGGGACTGCTGATGTAGAGTATCTTTTCGTGTACTTGTTACATCTGTATATCTTTGGAAAAATATCTAGTCAGATCCTCTGACAATTTTTTGATCAAGTTTTTTTTTGTTGATATTGTTGAGTTATATGAGTTCTTTATGTATTTTGGATATTAAGCCCTTATCGGTTACAAATTTCTTCTTCCATTCAGTAGTTTGCCTTTGTTTTGTTGATGCTTTTCTTTGCTCTGCAGAAGCTTTCTAGTTTGATGTAGTTCCATTTGTTTATTTTTGCTTTTGATTCTTTTGCTTTCAGAGTCCGATCCAAAAAAAACATCACCAAGACTAATGTCAAGGAGCTATGTTTTCTTCCAGAAATTTTATGGTTTCAGGTCTTATATTCAAGTCTTCTTTTTTCCCCACCTCTTTAATTCCCCCCCACCACCATTTCCACCTCTGACCTATGGATGTTGCTGTCTCCCCTTAAGAACTGGATCTCTGAATGCGGGGTGTCTTTTGCCATGCGCTCGCGGCGTATACCTGGGGCCTGGCGCTTATATTCCAGTCTTTAATCCATTTTGAATTAATGTTTGTGTATGCTGTAAGGTAGTCTAGTTTCATTCTCTTGCATGTGGCTGTCCAGTTTTCCCAACACCATTTGTTATGGAAACTGTCCTTTCCCCATTGTATATTCTTGACACTTTTGTGGTAAGTTAGCTGTCCATATATGTGTAGGTTTATTTCTGGGGGTCTCTCTTTTTTTTCAATTACAGTCGACATTCAATATTTTATATTAGTTTCAGGTGTACAGCATAGTGGTTAGACATTTATATAATTTATGATTAGTCTAGTACCCACCTGGGCACTATATATAGTTACTACATTATTATTGACTGGGCTCTATTCTGTTCTATTGAGTTTTTTTGTCTGTTTTTATGCCAATACCATACTGTTTTGATTACTATACCTTACTAGTATATTTTGAAATCAGGGAGTGTTATACCTCCAGATTTATTGTTCTTTCTCAAGATTGTTTTGGCTATTTGGGGTCCTTCGTGGTTCATACAGATTTTGGAATTATTTGTTCTACTTCTGCAAAAAATGTCATTGGAATCTTAATAAGGGTTGCATTGAATCTGTACATTGCTTTGGATATATGGACATTTTAACTATTTGTGCAATCCATGAACACAGACTATCTTTTTTTTTTTTTTTTAATTAGAGTTGACGTCAATATTATTTTATATTAGTTTTAGGTGTATAGCATAGTGGCCAGACATCCATACATTTATGTAGTGGTCCCCCCAACCAATCCAACAGCCACCTGCTCCACACACAAATCACCATATCCCCATGCTGCACCTTACAGCCCCATGACTATTTGGTAACTACCAGTTTGTACTTCTTAATCCTATTACCTTTTTCACCCAGCCCCCCAACCACCCACCAGTTTGTTCTCTGTATCTGTTTTGTTTGTTCTTTTATTTTGTTCCTTAGATTCTACATATAAGTGAAATCATATGGTATTTGTCTTTCTCTATCTGACTTATTTCCCTTAGCATAATACTCACTAGATCCATTCATGTTGTTGCAAATGATAAGATTTTTTTTTAATGGCTTAATAATATTCCATTGTACATATGTACTACATACAGTGTCTTTATCCAATTGACCGTTACTGGGCACTTAGGTTCTTCCATATCTTGACTAAATAGTGTTGCAGTGAACATGGGGGTGCATATATCTTTTTGAATTCGTGTTTTAGTTTTCTTTAAATAAATACCCAGAAGTGCAGTTGCTGGGTCATAAGGTAGTTCAATTTTTAATCTTTTGAGGAACCTCCAAACTGTTTTCCATAGTGATCGTACCAATTTGCAATTCCACCAGCAGTGCACAAAGGTCCCTTTTCTCTGCATCCTCACCAACACTTTTTTTTTGATTTATTGATGATAGCCATTCTGACGATGTGAGGTAATATCTCATTGTAGTTTTAATTTGTATTTCCTTGATGATTACTGACTTTGAGTATCTTTTTGTACGTCTGTTGGCCATTTGTATGTCCTCTTTGGAGAAATGTCTGTTCAAGTCCTGTGCCCATTTTTTGATTGGATTGTTTGTTGTCTTGTTGTTGAGTTGTATGAGTTCTTTATAAATTTTGAATATTAACCCCTTATCAGATGTATCATTGACAAATATCTTCTCCAATTCAGTAGGTTTTTTTTTCATTTGTTGATGGTTTCCTTTCCTGTGCAAAAACTTTTTAGTTAGATGAACTACCATTTGTTTATTTTTTCTTTTGCTTCCCTTGCCCGAGGAGACATATCCAAAAAAACATTACTAAGAGTAATTTCAGAGAGTTTGCTGTTTATGTTTTCTTCTAGGAGTTTTATGGTTTTGGGTCTTACATTTAAGTTTTTAATTCCTTTTGAGTTTATTCTCGTATGTGGTGTAAGAAGGTGCTCCAGTTACATTTTTTGTAGGTATCTGACTAGTTTTCCCAGTACCATTTATTGAATAGACTGTCTTTACCCCATTGAATATTCTCGTCTCTTTTATCATAGATTAAATGACCATATAGGCGTGGATTTATTTCTGGGCTATTCTGTTGGATTGATTTATATGTCAATTTTTATGCCACCACCATACTGTTTTGAGCCCCCTGTAGTATAGTTTGATATCAGGTAGTGTGTTATGTCCAACTTTATTCTTCCTTTTAAAAATTGTTATGGTTGTTTGGGGTCTTTTAGGCTTATTTGTTCTAGTTCTGTGAAAAATGCCATTGGTATTTTCATAGGGATTGCATTGGATCCATAGATGGCTTTGGGTAGTATGGACATTTTAACGATGCTAATTCTTCATATCCATTAGCACAGTATATGTTTCCATTTATTTGTATCTCCTTCAGTTTCTTTCCTAAGAGACTTACAATTTTCCAAGTATAAGTCTTTTACCTCCTTGGTTAAATTTATTCCTATGTATTATTTTTTTTAAGCAATTGTAAATGGGATTTGTTTCTTAATTTTTCTTTCTGATCGTTATTGATATATAGAATGCAACCAATTTCTGAATATTAATTTTGTATCCTGATACTTTACTGAATTCATTTATCAGTTCTAACAATTTTTTGATGGATTCTTTAATGTTCTCTTTATAGAGTATCACGTGATCTATAAATATGATTCTTTTACTTCTTCCTTTCCAATTTTGATGCTTTTATTTTTTTTTCTTGTTTGATTGCTGCGGCTAGGACTTCCAATACTAAGTTGAATGAAAGTGCTGAAAGTAGACATCCTTGTTTTTTTCTTGATCTTGAGAAAAACACTTAGTTATTCCCCATTGAGTATGATGTTAAATGTGGGTTTGTAATATATGGCCTTTATTATGTTGAGATATGTTCCCTCTGTTCCCACTTTGCTGAGAATTTTTATCATAAATGGATGCTGGGTTTTGTCTAATGCTTTCTCTGCATCTATTGATATGATCTTATGATTTTTGTCTTTCAATTTGTTAATGTGGTATATCACATTAATTGATTTGTGGATACGGTACCAACTTTGCATCCCAAGAATAAATCCCACTTGATCATGGTGTATGATCTTTTTAATGTATTGTTGAATTCAGTCTGCTAATATTTTGTTGAGGACTTTTGCATGTTTGTTCATCGGGGATATCTGCCTAAGATTTTTTTTTTTGGTAATGTTTCTGTCTAGTTTTGAAATTGGTAACAGTGGTCTTGTAGAGTGAGCTTGGGAGGCTTTCCTTCTCTTGAATTTTTTGGAATCGTTTGAGAAGAATAGGTGTTCTTTCTTTTTGAATGTTTGGTAAAATTCATCTGTGAAGCCATCCAGTCCAGGACTTATGTTTGTTGGGAGTTTTTTTTAAATTAGTGATACAGTTTCATTAGTAGTAATCGGTTTGTTCAGATTTTCTGTTTCTTCTTGAATTAGTTTTGGAAGAATGTATGTTTCTAGGAATGTATCCATTTCTTACAGATTGTTCAATTTGTTGGCATATAATTGCTCCTAGTATTTTTTTATAATTCTTGGTATTTCTGTGGAATCAATTGTTGCTTCTCCTCTTTTATTTCTGATTTGTTTGGGTCCTCTCTTTTTCTTGATGAGTCTGGTTAAAGGTATATCAATTTTATTTATCTTTTCAAAGAACCAGCTGTTGGTTTCATTGATCTTTTGTATGTTTTTTTAGACTATTTCATTTATTTTCGCTCTGATTTATATTATCTCCTTCCTTCAATTCACTTTGGGCTTTGCTTGCTGTTCTTTTTCTAGTTCCTTTAGGTGTAAGGTTAGATTGTTTACTTGAGATTGTCTTATTTCTTGAGGTAGGCCTATATTGCTGCGAAGTTCCCTCTTAGAACTGCTTTTGCTGTGTTCATAGAGTTTAGGTCATTGTATTTTCATTTGTCTCAAGGTATCTTTTGATTCCTTGATCTCATTGTTAACCCATTTATTGTTTAGTAGCATGTTATGTAGCCTCCATGTGTTTGTGCATTTTTCAGTTTTTTTTCCCTTGTAATTGATTTCTAGTTTCGTACCATTGTGGTTAGAGAAGATGCTTGATATGATTTTAATCTTCTTAAATTTACTGAGACTTGTTTTGTGTCCTAACATGTAGTCTGTTTTAGAAAAGGTTCCTTGTGCCATTAAGAAAAATGTATAGTTTGATGCTTTGGGGAGAAACACTAAAAATTTCAATTAAGTCTATCTGGTCTAGCGAGCATAGAATATCTTTCCATTTATTTGTGTCTTCCTTAGTTTCTTTAATTTTGAGCAAGTTTATGAATCTGGAAATAATAGTTTTCACCTCTTAGTTATGAGAGTTAAATGAGATAATGCACTACGCCTGAAAAATTTAAATGTTAGCTATTATGTTATTATGTACTGTTAAATTGTAATTGTATGTGTACATACATATACACATATAAACCCAGAAAGTACAAAGAGGAGTTCAAAAGCAGTAGCAATCAATTCTGCCTACAAAAATCTGTCTTCATAAAGGGCATTCTCTTGATCTCAGTTTCAAAGGATGAGTAGAAACTTGTTTGGAAATAGAATACCTATGAGTTTAGTCTGAAAAAATAACATGAGCCATGAAATTTGTATGGTAATAAAACTAGAAAATAAATTAAGGCCAAATTCTGAAGGACCTGGAATGTCATGCTAAAGAATTTAGACTTACCCTTGAGGCATTTGGGAGTTATCAAAGATCTTTAATAAGACTAGGATGGAATGCTTAGATTTGTTTTGGAGAGTTAATTATGGTCATAGAACAGATTAAAGCAGGGTAAAGGTCAGAGATAGGGAGGTCCACCTGAGAGTAATTTACCTGAGAGACAGACGCTTCTAATTAGTATTTGCTGCACTTCTAAAAGGTACTGTTGCTTAGAATATACACAGCATATGTCTGAACTTTATTTTTTGTGGATTTAAACCAAGCAACTCTGACATGGCTTTGTTTTCTTTTGGTTGGTCTTTTTTCTAATGTGTACTTTCAGAATCTTTTACAGTTAATTCAGATTCTAATTAAACATTTTAGATAGAGTTTTAAGTTTTATGTGACTTGACTATGAGAATAGGAACCATGTTTTTTTTTTTCAAACTTTTGTCTTCCTGGTGTCTGGTACCTAGCAAGTACTGAGTAAATTTGTTGTTAAATTAAAATTCAAACTGCACTCCATAAATGAGAGACTATATCATTTTAATTAGATGTTATTTATAATTCATAACATGTGACTGATTTTTGTATCATCTCCTATGCCAGTGATTCCCAAACATGGGACAGTTATGCCCCCAGGGACATTCGGCAATGTCTGGAGATATTTTTGGTTGTCATAATTAGATGAAGGGTTCTACAGGCATCTAGTGGGGTAGAGATCAGGAAGACTGCTAAACATTCAACAATGCACAAAACAGTCTCTGTCTTGTCCCAACAAAGAATTATCTGGCCTAAACTGTCAGTAGTGCTGAGTTCAAGAAGCCCTGCCTTAGTCTATCAGTAATGTTATTGCCATCGAAAAACACACATCGAATAGAAGTGTGTTTTTAAAACACCAAGACAAGAGTATGTTACAGTCTCCTCAAACTTAAAAATAAAGTGTATGTTTAAAAAATCTATGAAGAGGTATAGGCTGCGTAGGATAGAACCATTCCTGTTGAAACTTAGCAAAGTGAAATGACTGAGAAACTTCCTTTTGATTTATTAACATTCAGTGCACCACGGAATGTTTACATCAGTGTCTCTAGCATGTCAGAGGACATTGGACCAAAAGGTGCTGGATAGACAGCAACTATAATGTATAGTAAGCAGCTACTGGATATTTTGTAAATAGATGGGAACTTGGGCAGTCTAGTTTTCAAATCTCAATATTTTCAGGACAAATAGTTTGTGATGGTTTTGGCCTAACATTTGTGATTTTATTATTTTCTAAAGGGTAATAAGAGCTGGTCCAATGTTAGCATTTCAGAAAAGCTGAAAAACTTTAATATGTAATAATATCCAGGGCTTATTATCCAATAATGTCAGCAAAATTGTAATGAAAAATGCCATGGAATCAAGACGTAAGTTTTTTTTCCCCCTCTTTAACTGCCCCCCACCCCACTTCCACCCCTGACCTACAGATGTTGCCACTGTTTCTAAGAACTGTATCTCTGAAAGTGGGGCACCTCCCACGTGCTCGTGGCACATGCCAGGGGCCTGGCGGACCCGGTACACTGGGGTGGGGGCTGTGGGGGAGCTGGCGCACCTGGCATATGGTCCGAAGCTCCACCTGGGGCGCGAACCCAGGACCTTTTGCATGTAAAGCAGACGTGCTAACCACTACACTATGGAGCCACCCCCAAGACATAAGTTTTAAGCGTCTTTGGCTCATTCATTATTTTCTAACAATAGTCAAATTATTTTTAATCTTGCTGACTTTATCTCTTGTTTAGAATGAGTATAAAATACTCTGATATATGGTAATGAAAAAAATAACAGGAACTATTACAACTCAATAATAAAAAGATAAATTTGCCCAATTTAAAAATGAAAGTCTATTTGCAACAACAGGGATGAATCTTGAGTGCATTATGTTAAGTGAAATAAGTCAGATAGAAAAGACAAATACTGTGTGATATCACATATATGGAATTTTAAAAAGCCAAAGTCATAGAATCAGAGTAGAGTGATACTTACCTAGGTCTGGAGGGTCAAAGAGTACAAACTTTATGTTATGAGCTGAATAAATTCTGGGGATCTAATGTACAACATGGTAATTATAGTTATCAATGCTGTATTATATACTTGAAGATTGCTAAGGGAGTAAGATCTTAAATGTTTTTACCTGACATGATGAAGGTGTTAGCTAATGTTATGGTGGTAAACATTTTGCCATATATAAGTATTAAATTAACACATTGTACACTTTAAACTTATACAATGTTATATGTCAATTATGTCTCATTAAAGCTGGAGGGTGGGGAAATCGACAAAGGACTTGAATGTACATTTCTCCAAAGAAAATATACAAATGTCTAATAGCATATTAATATGAACTTCTTGAGGGCAGGAATCGAGTCTTAGTGAATATCTTTATTTTCCATAGATAGTATGCAGTATTTTCCATAGACAGTAAATGCTTTTTGATTTACAGAAGTTTTAAATGTCTTTTAAAATAATTGTTTTAATTGTGTTCTTTCAGATCTATCAAATTTATTCAAAGCGATCTGCTGAGGATGTTTATAAAATACTGACATCTTATAAAGCAAATTACCTAATTGTAGAAGATGCTATCTGCAATGAAGTGGGAACCATGAGAGGCTGTAGGGTTAAAGATTTATTAGACATTGCAAATGGCCATGTAAGTAACCATTTGGAAAGTTAAGTCTTTTTGAGAGAAATGACTTTATTTAAACTTGTAATCATCAAACTTTATTTTTGGAATTAAACTAAGAATATAATTAAAAGCTATATAACAATGGGGGGGGCTATTAACAATAGTTTGAAGTATTTTTTCAATGTACAAAAGAAAAGTTGGCCATTTTTACAAAGAAGAAAAATTTTACCAATACCCGGATTCCTTATTCATTGCCTTTACTTGTGCATGTTCAACATTTATTATTTAAAAAAGCATAATTTGATTTGAATGATGATTTATTTTAACTCATAATAATCTAAAGAGCAACTAGTTGCATCATTATGTTGAAATTTCTTATAATTTGATACGTATCTAGAAAAATTACTTCATTATTACAGTCTTTTTATTATTAAATTTATTGGGGGTGACATTGGTTAATAAAACTATATTGGTTTCAATATAGTTTTTTTTTTAAATTTTTATAAGAGTTTATTTGAGCCAACCCAACGACATATGCTGGGGAACAAGATCTTAAAGTGCTCCCTAACCTTTTACTCTTTTAAAGTAGGCTCTCTGACTTCTTTCATAGGCATTAGAATAATATTTAGTGTTTTATTATAGAAAACTTTTCAAGTTAGCTAAGCTATATTAGTGAACATAATTAAGAAGAGAATGTAAAAGTTTTCACTGGATAAGTCATAAAAAATTTACTTGCCTACTATATAATTGTGAGTCAGTTCTATATCAGGAGAAGTGTTCGAATGTACAGCAAGAATATATTATATGTTCATTTCTCTGCCTTAGTAGGCTCTACGATAAGGCTCTTCAGAGGAATGATAATGGACTATGGAGACATAGCTTTCTATATTTTAGGATTAAATCTTTTAAAAGTTGGAAACTTTTTATGCTGGTTTCTCAATCTCAATGGGAAGCTCAGAAGTTTAGTGTATTTGGTGATTGTCCTATGAAAAGGCTTCTATGTGCTAATCAATGTGAGATGTTTGCTAAACAAGGTGGAATTGTCCATGTTTAGCATAATGTATTTTTTCGTATAAATATTCGTACATTGATTGCATTTCTCCTATAAGCTTTTTAATATTATGTTTCATATCTTTTCATAGGTGGTTTACGAAGAGAGTGACAGGTTAACCTACTCAAAATATGGGCGATTTTGTCATGAGGTCAAAATTAACTATTCTCCATATGTGAATTATTTCACTAGAGTGTACTGGAACAGATCCTACTTTGTATATAAAATCAACACTGTGATATCCTTTCAGTCTTGAAAATACTGAGCCTTCATTTCAAAGACTTACACCACCTGAAATAAAACATGATTTTCTTCTATCTATCTGGTGTCTTTTTAAATCAGAGTATGGACATTTGAAATGCTGCTGCTTTTCCCTGCTCCTGCAGTTAACTGGATCCAAAGTTCTGTGGGGGATAGACGATTAAGCATTACGGTCCTTTGGTAAAATGTGAAATCTTGCCACTCGGCTATATTCCAGCCAGGTATTCTTACTGTTACTTGGTCTTTAAAGATTTCACCTTCTAAAGTATTATAAAATTTTCCTCAAAATCTTCATTGTCTCATAACATTGACCTTGAATTTGAATATGTTCAAAGTCAGTATATATCTCAAACGTAACATTTAATACATACTTAATGTAATATAATTACAGAATAGAAGGAAAGAATATTCTTACCCTCAAGACAGTTTCTGAAAGTATTTCTTGGTTTATAATAGAACTGAAATATTACAATAAAAACTAATTTAAATGTTAGCTGAATATATGTGGCATTTAAATTAAAATGGAAATGATATAAAGGAAAGTGATTTTTAAGGATATAGGTAAAGACATATCCTGATTTTCCATATTACTACTCTCATCATCTGATTATATAAATGAGCATTTTCTTAGTAATATATATAGCATGTATTGTATTTTATTATTTTATGACTAGTAAGTGGTTAGCTTTTTTCACTTATGTCCATGAATTTGATAGCATTTAATCATGATAAAACAGTAACTTGTTAACCTATATATTTTTTAAAACAGACATTTTACAAGAATTCAGGTTTTTAAAAAATATGATTATGGAGTATATACTCTTCACATGTTTTCTACTGAAGTATTAAGTAAAAAATCTCTATCATAATAAAAATATATACACTAAAACGAACAACAGTTTCTAGAGATACATGTAGATGCTGTTAAACATACCTCTGTATACAGATATATTTATTATAAAACAAGTGCTATTATTTATGAAACTGATAGTCTTCAAGATGAACAAAATGACAATTATAATAAAATTCATAGCACAGTTTCATAGTCTGAATGTTCTGTTCCTTGAAGTTAAATGTTTTCAAATTTTTAATCATTTGTTAAATCCTAAAAATATTAATTTGGCTTTATAAAGAGATTCAGGATAGGTATTAGCATTTTAATAAGATGGGATGCATGTTTAGTTTTACTTTATATACCTGTTCAGTGAACAAGTTTTCAAAATTTTCAATTTTAGAGTGCTGTAAAAATTGCAATTTCATTACTCTAAATTACTACATTAGAAGAGTGCATCTTTCCATTATCTTTATTTTTCTGTTGCATATATTTTTTAATTGATGGTGGTGTCATATATCTAGTGCATTTGTTTTATTGGTTCTCATTTCATGCTTTTATGTACATTTCTAACAATTAAGATAGCAAGGCAGGGTGTTTCAAGTTCTCTCTACATCTTAATAGTGATTCACTAATATTTAGCTTCAAGCCTTTAGGAAATTTTACTTAAGTACATAGTGAAAAGTCACATGGTATTACTTGTGATTAGAGCATGTAAAACATTATAATTTAAAAGTCAGCTTGCATATTTTGAAGGGAAATAGAACTATTTTCTGTGTAGCATGAAATATTTAATTGATTTGTATTGATATTATGATCAAATATGCTAAATTTGTTTTTTGTTTTTGACATATTAATAAGTTGCTTTTGCTTTTCAACCTTTTTTTAAAAAATAGATTCAGAGAAACTTAATTGAAAAAATTTTTAATTGAATTTTTTAAACGAATTTTTCATTCAGCATTGGTTGAAAAGGGAAATGTAAGCTTTAATATAGAAATAATAATATTGGATATGAGAAATAAGCTTATTTGCTTCAAATTTAACTATAGTTAAAACAATAGTACTAAAAAACTTTGAGGAGCATTTAATTATTTGTAGAGTAACAAAAGATTAAGAATTCTGCAAGTAATTCTATTTGGGTAATTTACAGTTTTTAGATTTGACAATTAAGATCTACTATGCAGGGGTGGCTCCATAGTGTAGTGGTTAGCACGTCTGCTTTATACGCAGAAGGTTCTGGGTTTGCACTCCAGGTGGAGCCATGGACCCTGCGCCAGGCCCTGGGGGTGCCAGGCCCCGGTCCAGTCTGGTCTGTAGGTCAGGGGTGGAAGTGTGTGTGTGGGGAGAATTAAAGAGGAGTAAAAAGAAAATCTATGTAAAGAGCAAAGTTTATGGTTTTGTGCGGAAGGAATTTCTTGAAGAAATACAAAACATACTTTGCCCTTGCTGTTGTAAAACTATTGAAATAAGTGCCTTACTGTTGTTTCATAGTTTATCTTTTATTTTCCAAAAAAATATTTCCATTTCTTTTTTTTCCATAAGAAAAATCTGTTAACTTTTTCCTCTGTTGTTAGGCACAAAGAGTCCTCACTATGCTATTTTCACTAGTAACTTTAATTCATTAATAGGCAAATCTTTGTTATGGATTGTCATGGGATTCTGGCTTGCTAAATTCATTTATTTAGCTTCCCAAATACCAAACAATCCAACAAATAAAACTTAATCTGATAAGGAATATGGTAATGACTTTGTGCTGGTTCATGTTTTTTCTCTCTTTGTCATCTGCATCTTGGTGCTTTTTGTTAGACTGGTAGGTTTTACAACCTAGGGAGTATGCATTGTATTTCAGAACTAACTTTTTTCTTTATTACTTTATATATACAGACAGCATATTTTTTCAGGATATTAAACCCAAATCACCAATAGCCTCAATGTTGCGGCACTCTTCCACACAGTCCAGATTGATTCAAGGAAAAGCAGAAATGGAAGTCAAAGTGAGTTATAAGTTGGGACTGAAAAAATATGCTTTAAAAAAAAATTATGAATTTCTTGAAGGGCACAGTGATAGCCATCTTGTTAAACTGTTATGTTTTTTAAAAATTGGTGTTTTTTTTTAGCCCTTTCTATTTTGAACTAAAACGTTTTGATGCCTTTTGCAGATAAAAGCATTGCCTGTTTTTATAAAATTGGTGGGGTTGCTAAAAGTTGTCAATCAATTTTTTTGGTAAATTGATTTTAAATACATGAATATTTAAAGGGAATATGTTATGAATTATCCTGTATATTTAAGAACCTTTTGTAAAGCAAATAACTACTTGCTGATTTACTTCTCAAGCTAGTCTCCATTTGTCTAGTTTTTAAAATACATAGTCTGTATTGTTGCTATTTGCTAATAGTTTTAGATCCCATTTTGTATTAAAATTACAGCTCTGAAAAGTTGTAAGTAAAATTGAACAATTTTTTATGGAAATAACTCATTATTAAGTTTTTTATTAGTAAGTTTTGAATGTATAAACAGCTTAAATAAAATTACATGTGAAAATTGCAAAGGAATATATTTGCCTCAACTGTTTTCCATCCATTAAGTTTTCTAAACATTATACTTAACTTGTTCTTCATAATAAAAAGGTCATTTTAGAACAAGATTTGCTGGATTTAGCATAAAGGCATCTTTGAATCATTTCTGTTTATAAGTATCTTAGAATTTGCAATATTTTAATCTTGGCATATAGTGCAGTTCTGTAAGAGATACACTGAACATCTGACCATTGTATTTAGTGGAATTATAGTATCAGAAAGAAACATGCATTCCACACTTACAGTTTGAAATATCTCCTAAAGAATCCTTTTTTAAGTTAATAGCTTTGTATAGCTGTTTAACAAATATGAATATAAACTGTCTATGTATGTTGACTTCTGAATCATATCTATGACAATGAATATTTAGATTAAATATGTTCCTCCAGTACACTAAGGTCTTTGCAAAAGAATAAGTTAATTTCAGTAAATATAAATCCTTTAAAAGAATTGGTTCATAAACTAATTGAGATTTTGTAACGTGTACCTATTATCAAGAATGAAATTATTTTGTGCTTAATTACAAAACAATTAACCTTGTTTTGTTTCCATAATAAAACTCTCAAAAAATTTAACTTGTCTGTTTTTATGTATGAACCTTTTTTGTTGTATCTTTATCCACGTATAATTTACATACCATCCAATTCACCTGTTGAAAGTGTACAGTTTAACAGTTTTTAGTATAGTCACAGAGTTGTGCAGTTATCATTACAATCAATTTTAGAACATTTTTATCACTGTATAACTAAAAAAGAAGCTATATACCTTTTGGCTGTCACACTTAACCACTCCATGTGCAGCCAACTCCTACAAATACACTTTCTGTCTCTATGGTTCCATATTCTAGATATTTCACATAAAGAGAATCAAAAAATATATACTATTTGGTCTTTTGTGACTGGCATCTCATTTAGCATAGCGTTTCAAGGTTTATTCATGTTTTTGCATGTATCCTTTTTTATTACCAAATAATATTTTATGGATATACCACATTTTGCTTTTCCGTTCAACAACTGATCGACATTTGGGTTGTTTCTACTTTTTTAGCTATTATGCTGCTATAATGCTGCTATGAATATTTGTGTATAAGTTCTTGGGTGGATGCATGTTTTCATTTTTCTGGGCTATATGTCTGTGAGTAAAATTTCTAGGACATATAATAACTATGATAACTATTTGAGAAACAACCAGACTGGGTTTCAAAGTGACTACCATTTTACAGTCCCTCTAATAAGGTGTGAAGTTTCCAATTTCTTCACATCCTTGTCAACACTTGCTATTTCTTTCTTCTTGATTATAGCTACCCTAGTGGCTGTGAAGTGCTATGTCATTGTGGTTTTAATTCACATTTCTATGTGGCCAGTGATGTTGAGCATCTTTTTGTGTGTTTAATGGCCATTTGTGTATCTTCTTTGCAGTAATGTTCATTCATATTCTTTGCCCCTTTTTAAATGGATTGTCTTTTTTATTACTGAATTATAAGGATCTTTATATATTCTAGATATAAGTTCCTTACCAAATGTATGATTTGGAAATATTTCCTCTATTCATTGGGTTTGCTTCATTTCTTTGATAGTGTTCATTAAAGCACAAATGCCTTTAATTTTGATTACATTGTTACATTTGATGTTACTGATAAAGCATTTTTTTATGATATATTTGAAGTAGATCTTGCATGTATCATACTTGGAGTTTATTGAGCTTTTTGATTGTAAACTTAAGAATTTCTTAAAAATCATACTTGGAATTCTTGTATTCCCATTACATATATGTTGATGTGCTTAATGGTGACCTACATTTCTCTGAGGCTCTGTTCAGTTTTTTTCATTCTTTTTTTGTTCTTTGGATTGTATAATCCCTATCAACCTGTCTTCAAATTTGCTAATTCTTTCAGTTCAAATCTGTTGAGCCCCTCTGGTGTATTTTTCATTTTAGTATTGTACTTTTTAGCTTCAGAATTTCCATTTGTTTCTTTTAAAAGATAATCTATTGGTATTTCCTGTTTATAGCAACTTTGGATATTGATAGCCCCTCCACCTCCACCTCATCCCCTGGACCTTATTCTAGTTGGCTTATTTAACTCTTTAGTGTCTGATTGGACTTATTTTAGTGATGTCTATTTCCTCCATACTGTGGAGCCTCTTATGTTGGCCCTCAGATATTACTGCCTTGAGCATGTACACAGTCACTATGGGACGACCATGGTTTTAGCAGGGCTCCTTACTGTCTACTTGATCCTATCAAGTTCCACTAGTCATAAAATGATTGCTCTCTTGTTTTTAACAATCCCCTGGAGTATAGATTACTCCACAACCTGATCCAATTAAATCCTGGCTCCTTTGAATAGGTAGTTTTTTGTGTGTGTGTGTCGGTGTTACTAAAGCTGGATAAAAATAAAGTCTTTAAAAGACCAATTTGATTCCATATAACAGCCATACTCTAGCATTAAAAAGAAAAGGTTTCTGTTCCCAGGGACCATAAACAAGTTTTCATCACCCGTATTAAATGGCCCTGGCATCTTTTGGGGATAGCTTTGGAGCCCTGTTTTATATCCTGGTTTTTTCTCTAGACAAAAATTACTGAGCCACAGCTCTGAGCTAGGAGTAGTGGTAGGTACGCAACTCTGACA